AATTTCTCCAGGTTATCACTGTTTTCCTTGCAATGTGGCCAAAGTATTCAAGAATCCTTCGCAGGCAAATGGTGGAGAGTCTAGTCCGGATTTTGAGCTGAGCTAGGATGGATGGATATGGATCTTGTCTAAGCTGAATAAAGAAAAAACAACTGAAAGTCTATAATCGAATGTTGCACATTTTTTAAAAGAAGAACCTCATTGGTACCACTCGAAAAAAGTTTCACTCAACAATCTCAAACCATGACGGTTCTATGTCAATTCGAAGTACCTATTACAATAGAACGGCAATTTCATACTTTAACCCCTATTATTACAAGTACTTTTTGTGAGCTATGATTTAGGAACTGTGGACACAAAGCAATAATAGCATGAAGCGAATATCAGTAAGTTTTAATGTGTTGATCGTTCAATTAGAACGACGACATGATTTCAATTTGATTATTTCACATTATAGTGCGGCGCCGCTGCCGGCAGATAATACCTACACTGATAACAGTATCAGCGTTATTGTTACTTTGAAGTTGCATCCTAACAACATCCATTTACAACATACAGAAAATAATTATATTGAATCGTTAGACCAAAACTAACTTGACCTCTACTCGGGTCGGTGGCGTAACCGGTCATTTTTTTTTTAATGTGGGAGCACTGTAGCGAAGCGAATCAAATAAATCTGAATACAATGCGTAGTACAAAATTTAAGTTGCGAACTGGACATTACATCAGCGCATAAAAACTGTCAATGCCAATGCTGTGTCCTCCAATTGTGCCGACGGCCATAACCCGGACTAGAACTGCTAGACTACACTAAAATTTAGTTTCATTGATTACATTTTACTATGTATGTATTTAAATTACATTGAAACTTTACTATATCCAACTAATCCAATATTTAGTCACATAAGTATTTATATTTTAATATTGGCGTAATAATTGTTTCGAGGCTTAATTCTTCCAGTTTTACGAGACCCAGTTTCCTTTTCCCGTTTCGTATCTATCTAATCTTATATTCGGCGGACACAACACTCGAACTATAAGCCAGATGCTCACAATTTCCGCTGCCATTATAAATATGAAACTCCAAGAAGTTTACATTCATCGTTGGAGTTCACAACATCCTGTTTTTCGCGAGCACGTGCCATTAATTTTATGATCAAACATCAGTGTATGGCAACTATTAGAACGGACCCTGTTTACAAACCATAATAAAAATCGAATATTATTAGTTAGTGAGCTCTTTCTTTGACATAACACCATTTTGGACAATTTTCTTTTTCTACAAATCGAACGGATATCTCATTTATCCAAACATTTCTATTCGAAATTATGTTACGTATTAAAATTTAACACGTAGCTATATAGACAGTGAACTGGAATTGGCAGGACGTGAGTGAAACGGGAACTTATTAATAAAATGGCGGCGTTCTTCCGTCGCATCAAGACCGGAGTAGTGGCCGCGCGTCCGGCCGGCTTTGATCCGGTATATATCTATCTGTTAAAAATTTATTAGCTACATCTCTAATTCCTTTTACTGGTGCTGCTACATCTATTTAAAATTAGAGACATAGAACTCGAGGTCGGTCTTGTTATCTACGTTCGACTACGTTTTTTTTTCTTGTCATTAGCTATCATCATTTTTGTTGATACGTATAGACAGAACGATTTTATCAATGAGAACAATGGTGGATTATAATTCTAAATATATTTTTGCATGGGAATTTTATTTTTCTCAATACTGCAACAACAAATGTTTTACACTTCACACAGGAACGCATTACTCCTTCAAGGCAGAAACCAGACACGATACAGTAGCGTGGTACTAGTGATTAATAACGATTCGGATTTATATTATTACACGTTGTTATTCGATATGACGTCATTCGTTTAATTATCTACACAATGAGCCAAATTCCTATTTTGAAACGATTTTAAACATTTCAACGAATGTAACGCGTATTGTAATGTAAGACCTAGCATGAACAATCGGCTTATTATGTCCGTGCAGTGATTTAATCTACGGTCTCGCATTGAAGAGCACATTAAGTAGCCGACTTCCTCTCCCACGTTTGGAGGAGCCGGATGCCTCCACTCACGACCTCCGCCAACGCTCCCTGTCCGGGTCCCCTCGGATATTTTAAAACACAAGACGTTTCTTATTTTCCCCAAATATTAACCAGATTAGGATTGAAGAGCCTCAATACTTTCTTGGTCTTACAGTCTTTAAACTTATAATTTCAATTAAATAAAGTCGAATTTCGACTACTGTGGGACCACTAGTTAGTATTAACTAAGTAGGTTGAATGCAAATAATATTATAAGGTGGGTACTTATAAAATACATAAATTGTTTTCGTCAATGAGTCGTTTAGAAACATCTCACAGTCGACCGTCACTACAACCGGTATTACGAGTATTTCGCTTTAATAATAATTTACTCAATGAATAACGCCGTGAGAACAGAAACCTATTCACGAACCGATGTAATTATTTTTTGTTTCAAATGAATTTAATTTAAATCAATTTAATTATGCATGTTTTTGTAGCGTAGTTAAAATAATGTAAGGACCGACCGACCGACCGACCGTGACCACGAAAACTGTGAGCTATAACGAAACGTCAGAAATTGTAATTGTAATGAATGAATGATAATATTAAATAGTTAAGTTTTAGATAAGTATGTCCTGAAACCCTTGAAAAATTTTTTTTTTATTTTTTTTAAACAATGAATATCTGATTGTCATCCTCGCCTGGTTACGCTGGCATAACCCCAGGTGTTTGTTACCAGTATAGGTATATAGAAAAAAAAAAGATTGTGAATGTAGCCTCCTTAGGCTTCTTTTCTTCAGTAATTTCGACAATTAATTTGTGTATAGTATCTAAAAAACGTATTTCTCAAAACAATAGAAGTATCAAAACAGAGGCATGTTTTTGTGCTCGCATGAAATAAAATTAATTAGAAATAACACTTTTTGTATTCGTTTTTTGCGCATTCAAGTTGAGTGGGTGGGTCTTTAGGCTAGCGACATAAGCTTTAATACACAAGAGACTTCAAAGTGAATCCCACAGACTACTGTGGAAAAGGTAGGTACCAAAAAAACCATGAATGGTTTAAAAAAAATATGCTAATGTCCTAGTGGGTGTTGATTGGTATACACACTACCGACATTGGTTTAATTTTCCTCACAAACATCTACAATTACTTCAACATGGGAGTTGTTGGAATACAAATGCAGATTTCATTTTAGTTCGAATACTTAGTAACAAACTGGATCTGAAGTTTAGACAAGATACAGGATTATACTTATCACTGAGCACTTAATATATTGGGAGTACCTCAAATAAGTAATTCACTGGGCAACCGACCAATTATAGCACAAAGATTTCATATTAGTTAATTACAAACATAGCCCTGAACTGATTAAACCTAAATTTAATATTTTTAAAGAAGCAAGATGGCTTGTTTAAGGGCCCTAACGGTTATTACCATTACTAAGAGAAAATACACTGGAAATGGACCATTTCAAAAATGGAACAAGGAACCCAAACCCAAAAAATAAGAAATTCCTTTATCTTTTCATCAAAGAAAAGTCAAACCTTCACTGTATGTAGGCATAGCAAATAATAAAATACTTTTTGGTTAACGTTGTAAAGGTTCAAACAATAGAAAGAAAACATTACATGTCAAAACGATTTTTTCATTAATTTTAGTGTTTTTTGTGTAAATTGTATTTATAGGTATTAAATCGGTAATACTTTTTATTTGGTTTAACTGTTATAGCACACAGGAGCTTAAATGAATATTGTTGATTTATTTAGTCAATTTGCTGGGAACATTTTTGCTGGTGATTGCAGAAAATGTACTATATGCTGTCAAACTAAGCTAAGCTTGAGCATGTGGATAATATACTTAATTTAAGACTAAAATTATTGTAAGATTTCTATTCATATACATCGCCAATTGTATATTTGTTTCAATTAGACCTATTCTATAATTTGTTCTACCAAAATGAATTTAATATATAAGAAAAAAAGATTATTTATAACAATATCATATCTGAAAATAAACAATTAAAACATTTTTTTGTTATTTGTAGTGCAAACTTTACTATTGGGAACCCTTTGATTAAACAACAAATAGTAAATTTTAACATAATAATATGTTTTCTATTCAGTATACTCTGCTTACAGACCCTATGCAAAATAAACATTTTATTAAGTTAAACACTGTTGTTAAAATAAGTATATGTATTATTTATTAAGTTCCTTCAACTTTATTCATTTGTTTTCTTGTCTTTTTGACTACCCTACATTTGAATTACACGTAACAAAATTGTTAACAGACATTTCTCCATTTGTTTGATTACACTCCACAACATCTGAATTGGTTTTGATGTGGTTCTCAATGAGATGTACAACTTATATGCTTGTAAGCAATGAATTACTTTTTTAAGTTGTATTCTAATAGATATGTGACAATCAAATGCATGTTGATTTAAAAAAACAATTTAATTCAACTGGTTTTTGTTTTACTAATAGATAATTGTGAAACACCTACACAATGCACATTTTTTATGTTATTAAAAGTATTGTGTTATACTGCTTTGAACATTAAAGAACGTTAAAAAGAATAAATCTATTTACTCTATGATATTCAAATTTTTAAATAGAAATTAGTTTGAACAATTTTATTAAGCAAGAATAAAATGATTTACCACAGAATCGGACAACTTAAAAAAATAACTATTACTGTGTGTTTTAGATCTCTGTAACGTTTTCATAACTAGTTTTGAGGAGTAATGATTTGTTGCCTTTTATGGTCATTTCATTGTCTTGATTAAAATTAATTGAATTCATTACCTTCAATAAATATGTTTTGCAAGTGATTCATTCATATGAATGGCTATATATACAACAATTTAATTGATTATTACAAGGCAATTTTATGAACACATCTTGGGTACATTTTATAAAAAAAATAAAAATATGAAAAATTAGTGTCTAGTGTTTACCTTCAAGACAAACGACTTGTACGCTGTCTTGCTTCAGCCTCTTGAGGAGTATACCGTGGACAGAGTCAGGGTCTCTGGGAGGTCCATCACCGTACAACACGAATATACCACGGGTTCGACAGTGGTTTATCCTCGCCTTCAACTCTTTGCACTGCACTGTTGATGACAACTCAATCTTCCCAGCAGCTAACCGCCTAAGCATTATTGTTGGGATGGAAAAGTTCACAGCGGAACGGATGTGCGATACAGAATACTCGTTTGAGCCCCGACAATCTATCAATACGGTGTCTCTTTCGTCTGAACGTAACTTTGCAAGGAGCCATTCTTTCGACACCAGGTCGCATTCGCATTCTGAATCCATAGGCATCTTGATAGTACACTGTTTTCTTCTGTTTACACGGACTTTTTACCACTTTGGATACCCTGTTGCATCAATACCTACATGCAACTTCGATAATAATGAATGTACACAAAATTTACAAAAACACACTTATTTTAAAAAACACAAGAAAACAAAATTATGTGCCTTAACATAAAATTATCAAATTATTTTTAGCGTTCAGCACATCCGAGCTGAACGCAGGACGGCGTAACAAAATTTACAAAATGTTTTTGAGTAGGTAGGTATCTACCTACGAAACGAAAGTGGAAGGAGGGAGTGAATGAGTAAAATTAACCAAATGACAACGACCGAACATATTTTTACGAATGGTGAATGGTTTAACTTTTTTTTTAAGGGATTTTATGACCTGGTAACTAAGACCTTTAGGTCAAGTCTTATTTTAATTTTAATGATAACTTTTTTATACGAAATATGATATTATGAAATGAAATGTGATGATATGGGATGATATGGGATGAAGTATAATTCCAGTAAAATGGTGGTCATTTACTGAGACATTTTCAATTGACTTTTTGGAGAGAAGTTACGTTCAGCAACTTTGTTTCATTTTCCCATATTTGTGCACTTTCACAGATATTAAACGGTTAATAAACCACCGTTATTACACATTTAAGCCTGAAGAAATGCTAATTAGACAAAATAAAACAAAATCACACAACTTCACTCCTCGCGTTCCGGCCAAAAAGTCGTTTAACTTTGTTCTTTGCGGGGACCATAGATAATGTTAGTGTTGGTGGAGAATACGTAAAACGTAGCGTGGTAGGTAAACTCGGTTAGCTCTGGCAACCAAGGGAAAAGAAATGATAAATAAAGAGCAAGCGCATTATGACCTGAAAATATTAGGGATCACCGAGACTCACATGAGAGGATCAGTATTACTGTCTTGGTATTAGGAATGACCGAGGCGAGGGATGGCTACAGTTCTACGCTGAAAACTCCCTCACAATAATGAGCATCAAAAACTACCCAAGAAGACTGTACACATGGATAATGCCAGGTGACAGAGCACGTAACCAAATAGATTACATTGACTTTCGTCTTGAGACACTGTGGTATTTGTGGTGAGAAGATTTTACGTAGCTTTCCTAACGCTGCCCACCCAATCTGGATTTGACTATTGACCTCTTTTTCGAAATTGGATTTACCTAGCTGGATAGCAATAGCTTCGAGCGTAGAGCTTCCGATCTTTACTGGAGTGGGCGCTACACGAGCATTCAACAGAATTTTTATTTTTTTCATGTTATATTTAGGCCCACTCGGATAGGAGCCCTAATGAGGTTTTTGAGCATTGTACTGAGGTCCTCCGAGGTATCAGCCATAATCACAATATCGTTGGCGAACCGAAAGTGAGTTAGGTACTTGTCGTTGGTGTTGATGCCTAGATCTTTCCAGTTCAGAACTTTGAAAACATCCTTTCATCCCATCCATCCAGAACTTTGAATCTGAGCTTGTGCTGGACGAAGCGTAGACCTCATCAGTTGGAATCTCTCAAGCTTAATATTGAGGTTCAATGTGCCCCTTACCATCCAATGGTCACTTCCGGTTTTAACCCTATTAATCATAGAGTCATCAATGAATATTTGCCTTTTTGTCCAATTAATGAAATCTATCTCATTTTTGATAGCATCATTGGGGATCATGCATGTTCACTTCCTGTGATCCCGTATTCTGAAGAAACAATTAATCATAAATAATTCCTCCTTCTCCATGAAACCGGAAAGTTGGTTTCCCGAGTGGTTTCAATGCCCACCAATGTAATCCAAATGGTACCACTCGCAGCTCTCCCACGCGCTGCTTACCCAGTCTCGCGTTGAAATCCCTCATGACAAAGGTGAAGTGAGCTGTAGGACTATGCATGGCTCGGGAAATCTTCTCATACAAAGTTTATTTGTATGAGAAGAATGTTTATTTGTATCACACCTCATTGTCAGAATGTGCCGAGGTCGGAGCGTATGCCTGTATGTTCTTCAAACAATACCTTTTGGTGATTCTGAATATAAAGTACGCCACCCTGGTTGATAGTCTCTGGATTTTCAACACATTATTCACAAAGGACTTGTGCTTTCGCGATGTGGTGTTGGCGAAGAATTCTCTGCATACCGTGGACCGCCAAGAGATCAAACCAATTTACCCTCGAGCAGCTTTGCGAAAAAAACGAAACTGTCTACAATTTGTTACGACCACGGTCATACCACACTGAGCACCAGGCAGTGATCACAGCTTAAATTCGATATTACTACGATTGAAAAAAAAAANCACAAAGGACTTGTGCTTTCGCGATGTGGTGTTGGCGAAGAATTCTCTGCATACCGTGGACCGCCAAGAGATCAAACCAATTTACCCTCGAGCAGCTTTGCGAAAAAAACGAAACTGTCTACAATTTGTTACGACCACGGTCATACCACACTGAGCACCAGGCAGTGATCACAGCTTAAATTCGATATTACTACGATTGAAAAAAAAAACAAATTTCTGCTAATCGTAATACATTTCGAATTCACTAGAATTAATTAGCATGACATTAGATAAATTGAGCGACATTTGTTAGAATATTCAATCGGCGTTAGTTAAGCAACATGTACATATCCATTTATATGAATAACGCATACTTACTTAAATGCTGAACATGTTTTTAATGACACAATCTTCAAATCTAGTCTTAACTCCCATATTTTGAAGTTGTTGTTCCATCTTACTTAATTTAATTCCATTACAATTCATTTTCTCTACATATCAATTTTCTATAACAAAAAAAAATCGATTATTTAGATAAGCGTGTTGTTTGGGTTGTTTCTTTTGCTTGTCCGATCGATGAAAAAAATCAAAAGTCTATGGTCATGTTATGAAGTTAAAAGTGGGTAATAAAAATAAAGGAAACCAAAATAATTGTAATTAATAAGTCTAGAGTTTATTTAACTGAGTGAATTTGATTATATATTTATGCTTTATTATTCAATATTTCCAAAATGGAAGACATTTACGGTGATTTGGAAAATTACAATGAAGTTAACGCTCTTGAAGAGGTATGCGATTTAGCGCCAAAACATTTCGTGGTGCACATTTATCGAAAGAAAATAAATAAACGCAAGTTATTTTATGTATAATAAGAAATAAACGATATTCATTTTACACCTTTCCTTTATTTTTAGCTGCAAAGTGAAAACAGAGAGTTGAAGGGCAAATTAGATGAGTACTCGACCGCTATGGATAAACTTCAAAAAGTAAGTTTTGAAACATTTAATACGTATAGCTGAACGGATCTTAAAGTTAATAGTTATTAAAGAAGAATACCACATAATTATTAAATAAAAAATTAAATGTTAAACCAAAGTATTTATATGTAACCAGAGAAGTAAATCTATGTTTATATTTATAAATATGAAGTAATTAAGTAATATTATAGTTTTAAGATAATAACAATAAATATTAATTGTGCCTACCTAGTTATACTACAACAATAGTACACCTTTAATGAAGTCTGTTGTAAATACCATTAATATTAAATACTCAAATAGTATCTTAGAATGGATATGAATTGAATCTTTAGGATATTTTGCAGGATTTCGACAAACTGTCATCTGAGTACAAGAAGTTAGAGTGTAACTATTCATCTTTACTGAAGACTGCACAAGCTGAGATAGAGAGAAAAACCAAAATTATTAAAGACCTTAACATTGAGTGAGTTTATTGTACATATTCTTAATAATGTTACTAAAAGTGTGTTCAGGAAAAAGAGGCCTTAAGAAATAGTAAAATGTCTATTTCTAACTTAACACAACACAAGACTGCAGCCTAGTTTGACTTGAAAAAACCCCAATGTATTTAGGATGTTTTTATCAATGTTTTCATTGTGATCATGAGGTGGCCACAGGTATATTACCAAAAATTACATATAACATGCAACAGCCTTATAAATTTTTGATAAACAATACTAGATTGTTAATGTTAAAAATATGAATTTAGTACATATTAGTTGTATAAACTTTCACAATATTGAGTGTGTGCTGGGGGATGGGATATTCTATTGTTAAAAAAATTAATGCCAAATGCTACTATTTGCCAAATTTAAAATAAAAAAAATCCAATTTTCTTTTAATTCTGGCTAATGATAAAAAAATGAGTGAATAATGTATTTTTTTATTGATATTTTACCTGGCACACCTGATGGTGAGTGGTCACGGCTGCTTGTGGATATGAGCCATTCAAGGGGCACAGCCAAAATGTTACATTTTTTTCTATTGTTTCTTATTGGCTCTCAGTGGCTGTGTATCCTGTGAGTGTAGTATATGTTGTAGTTCAGTGACTGGAGACCATCTCATGTTTGTATTTAATAGTTAAAGTCAATTTGTAGATAACAGGAGATGATGAAGAAATTGTAGGCCCAGCTCATTTTTATGTTTCATCAATGAACTAACCACAATTGTCAACAGTTAGGTTAAGGATATGAATATGATGTCATACTGAAAATATTAAACAATGTTTGTATGTGACTAACAAATTGATTGGTATAAATAATTTATTTGAAAATACATTTATTTTACAGAAAAGACTTGTTAGTCATAAATTCATTGAAAAATGGAAACAAACGGGTGTTAAACATTAAAAATCTAGCTTTCCGTTGTCAGTATTCAGGAAAACATGAAAAACCAAATACTTATCCACAAAAAAGGTGAGTTATTTATTTATCTAAATTGGCAAGTAAACACTTGCAGCATCACATATTTACATTTCAAAATTATCGACTATAGGATGACTGAATTTATATATCAGTTAGCAGCCTTTCCTACTGGGCTGAGGCTAGAGGAATTAATTATTTCAAACAAACATTTATTTGATAAACGGGTTTGCTTGCTTTGTTTGTTTAATAAATGTGTAATATCTGTACCTGTAAAAGAAATATACTTATGGGTAGTACATATCCATAGGGGCTCACAATATGCCCTACATCCATCAGTTTCGCTATCACATTCAATTCCATCAAACAAAAGAATAAGAAGAAGTATTCAACACTTGAAACCGATTGGATTCAAGTCTTGAATACAGTTTGCATTACTTTTCAAATTATCTTCAGAAACACTGAAAACATAGTTGCATGTTAATAGTTGAGATTTAAATCTGTTATGTCTCATATGAGAAATAGTGTATTGTAGATTAAAGAAAAATAGTTGTAACTATTTGAAATAATTTTGTTGAATTAATAGGCAGGCAGTGTTTCTGGTTTCCCTCTGTGTACAATGCGGAATTACTTATACATTCCATTAAACTCTGGAATGGATTTGGTTTTTATACTACCAATGGAGTTTTCTATGATATCATTCAGGGTCAAATCTGGGTGTTGGTAACTAACTAATCTAAATGATAGTTTACAGTTATGAACATTATTCCTACTTCTTTGAATAAATGAATCTGACTTACAGTTCCAGACCGAAAGCTACTAAATCTACAGAAGAAATAAAAGAAGTAAATTATAAAAAAGATCTTTCACCTATACTTAAAACTAAAATAAGCAGCACAGGTTCTACAGATGGAAACGTAAGCAGAGATGTTAGTGAATCTAAAGAGAATGTTACACATGCTGTTGAGAGTGAGAAATCTAGCCAAAAACCACTGCATATTCGAAACAGGCGGAAATCTATGCCAACTGAAAGGTAATTAAAAGAGTACTGACAAACATTTTGTTTACAAGTCAGTCAAAAGTTTATAATATTTTCTAATATTGTTTTTATGAAAGTAAACAAACATATCTGTAGAAATAATTGGGTGAAGCTAGTAAAAAAATAATACAGAGATGATTAAACATTTTTGACCCAACATCTTCTTTACACAACAAGTTAACAACTTAAAGCAAGTATCCTGAATTCACCAAAATTTCTGCAAAAAATCAACGTCTTCTTGATTTTTTTAAATCTAATTTTATAATCCTCAAAAATTTAAGGTTTGAGGAAGATCTTGACGGTCATATGTCAGAACAGTATAGAAGAAAAGCACCAGAAACAGTCACTGCCAACAAAAACGCCCAAGATATAAATTACAATGATAGATATAATAGAACATCAGAACAAATTTATAAAAATGAGATGTATTATGAACCTTCACGAGATACTTATAGAAGTAGAAGTAGTAAACATTATGATAATGGAAGTTACAAGGGAAAAGATAAATTTGATTCTTCAAGACGACGAAGGTTTTACAGTCCAGAAACACGGAATAGGTACCCTCGGGAATATCGAGATGATCATTATAATAGGATAGATCACAGAGACAGGAAATTAGAAAATACACCAGTCGAATACCAAAAAGACTATAGGAAAAGCAATAAAATTTATCCTCACGATTATGACCGATATAAATGGGACAGACAAGCAGTCAAACATAAAATACCAACAAATGACTATGATGAGCCTTACAGCAAGAAGCAGAGAAATGAGGCATATCAAAGCTATAAACGTCAAGAAGTGGAAGAAAAACGTAGATACGAAAAGGAATATAAAGAACACCAAGATATAGCGGAAACATTTGAAGAGCTACAGTCACAGTACACATCCTGTCAGTCTCCTGATTTTGATTATAATATTGATTATACAGAGCCCATAAAAGGTAATGTTTCTGGTCAGTATGCTTAGTATGGCATCTATGTCATCCTAGTATACTTAATGCATGACATAAGTTTTGGGTCATTTTGCATGCCAGTTTTCCAATCTTTGGTTATTTTAATAATAATTTAGTATGTTGTTAAGCTGCTAAAATAGCCTATCATTCTTGCCTTGTATCGTTTTTATGTTGGATGACTATACAATTATAATAATATAAGTGTTTTACCTACTTTGCTTTGAGAGTATTCCCATCAAATTTTTTCTTTTTCTTTTTTTTAATGCCATCCCTCTAATTTGGTAGACAATGGGCTCGTGGCCCACCTGGTGTTAATTTGTTTCCGGAGCCCATAGAAACCTACGACGTAAATGCCGCCACCCACCTCGAGACATGAGTTCTAAGGTCTCAGTTTTTCCAGTACAACGGCTGTCCCACCCTTCAAATCGAAACGCATTACTGCTTTACGGCAGAAATAGGCAGCTTAGTGGTACCAACCCGTGCGGAACATTACGTCCTTTTTTTTTTAGTGCCCTTATAGGCAGACGAGCATACGGCCCACCTGGTGGTGTGTGGTTACCGTCGCCCATGGACTTCAGCAATGCCAGGGGCAGAGCCAAGCCGCTGCCTACCGCTTAATACTCTCCACAAGCCTCGTTTGAAGAAGGACATGTCATAGCGCTCGGGAAACACCGTGGAGGGGAGCTCATTCCATAGCCGGATCGTACGTGGCAAAAAATACCTCTGGAAACGCACTGTGGATGAACGCAGTGGCTCTAGGTAGTATGGATGAACTCTACTCCGGTGGCGGGCGGTGCGATGGTAAAAACGAGATGCCGGTATCATCTCGAACAATTCCTCAGAGCACTCCCCACGGAACATACGGTACAAAATACAGAGGGAACCGAAGTCCCTCCGCCTACTTCGAAGTAGTCTAAGTCCTACCACCAGTAATTTCTAGTTTTGTTGTTTTACTAACTCAGTGATGCTACCTGCCGTTAGTCATTATATTTTGAAAAGTTCTTAAAAATGTAATGTAAATTTCCAATGAGGCTAGTATTGTGAAATGTACTTAATTTCAAGTAATACACTTCTATTAAACACCTAGAACATCACTGGAAGTTTTATATTGAAATCTGTTTGTAATAACCAATAGCCTGGTTATGCTGGCTTTTATGAAAAATATTAAGTAAGCACTTTATTTCCAAAAATGGCAACAATCATTATTACAAAGTAAAGATACAAAAGTCTGTCATTTATTTTTGAGAAAGCCACAAGAAAGAAAGTAGGTCTCATTCTATCCATAATTGATTACGCCGATGCCTGCTACTTGGATGCCACTGAGGAGCTCTCAAATAAGCTTGAGAGGTTGCAAAATCTATGTATCCGTTTTATATACAATCTCAGAAAATTCGATCATATTTCTCATTTTCGCAAAAAACTTAAATGGCTCCCTATACGCCTTCGTAGGAATACTCGAATATTGTCTCCTATTTAATATCCTGCATAAGCCCACTTCTCCCTTATATTTACGTGAGCGATTCTCTTTCATTCGTTCTCCTGATACTCCCTGCAGATCCAACCAACGTTCTGTCTTGTTATTCCCTTCCCACAAAACCAATTTCTATTCTCACTCCTTTACTGTGCACGCGGTCAGACTGGAATTCGCTGCCGGCTGACATCCGAGTTTGCAAGTCTGTTTCTGTTTTTAAATACAAGGTCAAACAATTCTATCTCTCATCTACCGAATGATCATTGTTCTATACGCTTCGTATATACTGTGTTACGTATAATATTTTGTATTCAAGCTCAACAATATTTGCTATGTGTATGTGCATTACTATAATTCTCATGTTGTATTTGTTATTTTAGTTATGTGTTATTTGTTCTACACACACTCATCGCTTTTAATTTTATTCTCATAATCCTCTCGCAGGTCTGTTGGAAGAGATTTCTTAAAGAAATAACAGCGCCTTTGTACATAATTTTCCTATTACTCTGTACTATGTCATATTTTCTGTGTGTACATAAATAAATGTCACAAAACAAAAGGTGTAGGTTTTTAATAATAATAATAATTGGGCTCAACTTTTGAATGGTCATCCGGCCTCAATTTAGTATTTCTTGTGTTATTCGTACCAGAAACTGACATACATACTTCTATATGTTTAAATATGTACATGTATAGATAATAAATACCCAGACAAAGAACAAACAAACCTGCTCATCGCACAATGTTTTCCCAATGACGGAATCAAACCCACGACCCTCAGCACAACAGTCAGGGACGCACTGAGTCAGTCGAGTTATTATCGTTATATGTTTTGTTCTGAAATGTTTACGTGATTAGTTATAATGGTCAAGCTACAGGTTGTCCTCCAGAGCTGGGTCATAGCTCAGTTTCAATATAGCTTTACAAAAAAATTTATTAAAAGTAAAAGTTGGTGAGAATAAAATTGTAATTTTTTCAGAAATCATGAACACAGCTGTAGTGCAGCTCGAAGATCCAAGAATATCGAGTAGTAATTATGAGTTAAAAACGTTAGAGGGAAAGGAATTTCTATCTACAAAAACAGACATAAAGATTAAGTTTAAAGTAATAAAGCAATCTGATTGGGGTGTTGAGAAAGTTAGCATGCCGGAAGAACTAATTCGGTGTCCTTCAGATGAACAACTCATTAAGGAACTATACACGGATTTTGACAATCCCGTGACAAGGATATCTATGGATAATGAACTACATGAAGACAATGTTGATCGTGAAACAGAAACAAATCAGTGCAGGGACGGCAAAACTGTCTGCTCTGAGACTAAGAAGAAGAAAACGCCAGAAATGAAGATAAAAAATTTGACAATGTCACAACCTGCTTCAAACAACTATAATGTATCTAAAGTTAAGGAAGTAAATATGGACTCTACTCCGCATACTAGTTCCGCGATTCAAGAACAAGGAAAATCTTTAGGTATTATTGAAAATTTACACGCAATTAAAGATGGCAATAAAAATTATAAGGAAAAAATTAAGATCCATGAATTTCCAATAAGACCGATAGAAAAAGAAGAGGATAGGAAAAGCAAAATAGATTCTTTTAATGAATTGGAGTTTACGTGTGGCTTTATGAATACAAGTAAATCATTTAACCAGACCACTGTAATTGGGATTGTGGAAGGTGATTTAGAATTAAGTGACGAAACTTGTGATAATATGGAAGACCAAAAAGTATCATTACATGACAAAAAAGATTATCAAGAAGAGTCTATTATTGAAAATATACAAAGTTCCGAAAAGCTTGTTGCAGAAAAACCTGTCACAGATTTGAATGCGACTATAGATTTTGTTGGAGAAAAACTGGAAGAAAGAGAAGATAAAAACGTAACTGCAAAAGAAAAGGTTGAAGTGTTATCAAATATCACGAAAAAAGAAAAACCGAAAAAGAAAAAACAGAAAGATGGTAATGAAACATATAATAATAGTGAAGTTCACAACACCGAGAAGACCAAATGTAAAAGCAAGGCTAAACCTAAACAAATTAAAACAAAATTTCATGATTTATTTGGTGACAGTACCAGTTTGATAACACCTGAAGATTTAGGATTAATAACCAACAAAACTCAAGTACAGAATTCAACTAACTACGTGCCGATTTTTGAAGACGCCACCGACGGTATTGAGTTACAAGAAGCAAATAAAATAGCAGTAGAAAATTTAAATGAAGTAAGTATAGAAGGGCTCAATAAAATGACCACCGAGACTATGGAATTCAATAAAATTGAAATTATGAATAATGAACCTGAAAAAGCCATTGCTAATTTGATAGCAATGCCAACTACAGAAACTTGTGATAGCAATGAAAATATTAATCTACATCCGACAGAAAATGAGTCGGATGTAGTTAAGACTGTAATCATATCGACAGGCGTACAGCCCATAGTTTTAACTGATGTACTTGAGAGTATAGAACCATTTCCAACGAATAATCAAGGGACGGTTGTAGAAAAAAATTCAGGAACACTACTGAACGCTCTTGCTACGTCAACTCCATACAAATCAGCACAAACTTTGTCAGACCCCGCTCCAATAGTAACGGAGAACAGTGTAAATAGCAACAATTCAGAAAGTATGAATACTGCAACAGTTTTGGAAACTTCAGGCAGTGAAATGGTTTCCCAAAAGGACGTACCTGACGTTAGGATATTTCTTAAAAGGAAAAGAAAAATCATAAAAAAATAAACATTTTATCACGAAATCATGAACTTTAAAATTTCGAAAGTGTTCAACAATACTCATTGTTATGTATCATTTAAGAACTTGTAATTGTGTGACAAAATCTATTATATGTACATAAACTATGAACTTTTTGTTTATGTGGGTAAAGAAGGTATTTATTTGTGTATAAATATTGAACTAGAAACATATTGTTATAAAATTAAGTTGCAATAAAGAAGCACGACGAAAGGAATATATATGTCAAAGTTTTTTTTTATACTAAGTCTTGTTAGATAATTTATACAATTTAACATTTTTTAAATGCAATCTTATATACAAACCAATATGGAGCTAGTTTAGGTTCGTCCCATCGTGATGAAAGGCAACAACTACTTTAATCACTATGAGAGTGGAACACTTTTGTGTTGCAAAAAACTAAATATAGTGTAGTTTATTTGATCTAGTATGCTTAGTAGTAATGTTTGGACTACATAGAAACAAGATGGAGTGACAAAAATTACTGGCAACTATAGTAGAATTATTTTGTCCGTGCAGTTTGGGTCATAAAAAATCGGAGCGGTGAAGCGAGTATTTCGGTCTCTCTACCACTCACGAGCCTTGTGGACGGGCATAGTGATGCGCATTATTGTTCTCGATAAGCGTTATCGATAGTGTATTTAGTTTTGTCATTTTGTGGGTTAGTGATAAAAATGAAAGAAAAAAATCACTAATCGAACACTTACACCACATATCGCCGCAGCAAATAACGAGAACGGCAGAAATTAACACTGTAACTTTTCTGGATCTATTCTTATTTCAGTGAAAAATTTTAACACATTGCTGATAACAACAAGTGCAAATATTATTTTGAATAAATTCTGCCCTTTTGATACAAAACAAAGGAGTAGCCATTGTGTCACTAAAGAAATTCAAAGAGCGAATGCATAAAAACACATTTCTCTTCGACGTATTATGTACTATAATTTGCAGGTAGGTACAACAAATGACCCATAACATAACAATGTCCCACCACCCTTCTTATACCACGCCGCCGCCGTGTACCTGCCTTCGATGACTCAATTGTTTTTATCGATAATGGCGTTGCGCCCGCGCAACATGCTCACCGCCCTAGCCGGGCTATATTTTATGACCCAAACTGCACGGACAAAATAATTTTACTATAGTAGTAGAGCTCTAGTATATTTTTTAAGTTTACTATACTACTAGTGATACTACCTTTTCCTGAGTCTACCGAAAACTGGATCCATGTGTTCCGATTGTAGAGAGGCCACTAACTCAGGTTCTTTGTTTTTTCGAAGTAGGCAGTTTTTATCCCACTTAATATTGTGTGGATACCGTCGTTCGGATATCAGTATCGCAAGGATACAGAAAGCTGTAGCCTACTACTGAGAACTTTGTGAAGTGTGTTGAGTTGTGAAGGTTTATCTCACTACGTGCTTTGAGAACATCGTGGAGGCGAGTAGCGTGGAGTGTGCATTCCAAAGCCAAAGGTTGAAATCCAATGGCTTCCAAAACTCCATTCGATAGCAGATGGATCGGCCGTTTGTGACCACGAAAACTGCAAGGTGTCCGAAACGACGGAAATATTTACATGAAAATAAAAAAGGCGAGAATAAACAGTAAAAATAGTTTTAAATATAGCAGGATCACAATAATTCCTTGTTGCATATTTTTTAACATTAGGCAGTAGTATCCACGTCATTACGGATCCTCCCGATCGATTAACGGTGCTTTTAGGCACCACAAGCACCGGTCGCCGTCCTCGTCGAACCCGTCGATTGCGACGAAGGGCTCGACGAGCGAACTAACCCATAGACACAGCCCACTGAGTTTCTCGCCGGATCTTCTCAGTGGGTCGCGTTCCCGATCCGGTGGTAGATTCTGCGAAGCACTGCTACTGCTAGGGTCAGTATCAGCATCACTCCGGTTTGAGCCCTGTGAGCTCACCTACTAGTTAAGGTTACGCTGAAATATCCTCTCAAGGGTCAAGGAAATATCAGCTTAGGTAGGAAAAAAAAGTAGTATTCACGCTGTAGTGTCTATGGGTTGACCTGTGGGCCCAAGGAGTTTAGTGGGTGGGCCCTAAATTCCTTGGGCCCGCGGTCTGCTCTCAACACCTGCAGATCGTTGAGTCTCACATACCCCGCGCGCCCCCTAGGCATGGGGACCTCGTAGGTGCGGCCCTGGGCCCGAAAAAAAAAAAAAAAAGACGAGATGAGCGGTAAATCCTGCCTGTCCAGTGTCCACGGCCTATCTACGCCAATGAAAAGACAAAAAAATCATTAAAATAACTTCCCTTAACAGTCTTTATTTTTCCTTACAAATAAAACTATGATATTATTTACATGATTAAACATTTATAGTTGGCTTAATTAAATATGTAATGAAAACGTAATTTAATTTTCAAAACATTAAAATTTTTAGTAGAAAATAGATACAAAAACAAATAAAATATATCACATTTTATATGTCATTACTTCAATACTACCGTCCAAAGGAATGTACAGAATATTGTACTAGTGTAAAAAGCGAGCTTGAAATAAAAATGCATAAGAACACATTTACGTCAGTAAGGCGCGGTCTATGTAGGTAGTTAATTATGGTACTGTTCCCTTAGACGACAGAATAATACAAATTATCAGAATCAATTGTTTTAACAAATAATTAAGTACCTAATTTATAACTTTTCAGTTCATTTAGAACATACTACACAAAGTTTTGTTCTTTAGTTGTCTTGACGACCTCAAATTTGTAGTTAGATTCAGCTGTGAAGTCAAATAGTTTAATAATAAAATCAACACATTCTAGTATCTACATTTAAATTTGAAATAAGTAAATATGTACAGGGACATTAACAAAAGCCGAAAACAATGTTCTGCACTGCTTGAAGGTAAGTTCATATTTCGTTAATCCACGACAAAACATTTAAGGCAGCCGGCGGTCACGGTTCGTTGACCTCGCGTGTCAGTCGATTTTTACTAATATATTATTGTAAGCTGTGTAATATAATTTTACGCTTACGATTATTTATCGCATTTCGTCTTTTGTTTTCGGAATAGGTTCCTTTCTATAGATTCTAAGTTTATATTTTATAGATATACCTTACACAGACTGAATTAAATAAGAACAGTCATTAAGATTCAATCAAGTACAACACGTCAGTTCCTATTTGCAGTTTTTTTAATTCAATTAACACAGAAAAATAAATAAATATTGGTTTATATTGGAATAAAAATATATGCTATCATTTTTCTTTGAAAAAGAAATATAAAAATGTTTATTGTAAGAATTTTATGCGCTAGTGAATGAATATGCGTCTTGGGAGTCCAGGCTTTGAGGCCGCCTACATAAAAGCGCATAACAGCTCTACTGTATTTACACTTCCTAACAGGTTTCTCTATGAATGCATGAAAAGCTAATTAACGTTAAACCTATACAGTTCTTAACAACAATAACATTAAGTTCAAGGAAGAACATTTTTAGTCAAACAATAAGTACAATTGTTTTGTACTCAATAAAACTGTTGTAGTCAAAATTATAACGATCCATTTCTTTCGTCAGAACGTCAAAAGTTACAACGTAACATTGTCATATCAACTATACGGTGGAATATGCTATTGGCCGTCATTCCTTAGTACTGTCACCAAAACAATCAGCATGCGATACGTTACGTATGGCTACGAGAAATAAAATCACAAATCTCACTGACTTATATACAAGGACGGTCCCGATTTATATCGAGTATCACATCACAGCACTAGTCACTACAGGCCGTTCTCGAAGCTCCTAGTGTTCGATAAAGTCCGAATGATATTGTTGGCCATTGGGATGTCGTCGTTTCTGGAGGACGACGGCTGAGTGAGGACTGCGGTGGAGGCGGTCCGTTTGCCTATCTTCCTGGGCACGGTGGCGGCGGCGGCGAGGTCGCAGTGGTCGGAGAGCGGCGCCACGTGCTGGTAGCACACGGCGGACGCGTGGCCCGACCGCACTGACGTCAGCGGCGTGCCGTTGCACCAGCTGTTCGTGGCCGGGTCGTACACCTCCACGATGTCCAGGAACGACGTGCCGTCGTAACCACCTGAACGTAACAAAATCGATAATAGTTGTTAATGAGGTAGGTGTTCGTTTAAAAAAATGCAACCCAATCCCTATATTCGCGGTGAGATATTTATTTATTTGCGGATCTTATCGGTAAAAAAGATAAAAAATATAGGATGCAATATTTAGTCGTCGTGGCCTAAAGGATAAGACGTCCAGTGCATTCGTATGTAGCGATGCACCGGTGTTCGAATCCCGCAGGCGGGTACCAATTTTTCTAATGGAATACGTACTTGACAAATGTTCACGATTGACTTCCACGGTGAAGGAATAACATCGTGTAATAAAAATCAAACCCGCAAAATTATAATTTGCGTAATTACTGTTAGTAAGTAGGACCTCTTGTGAGTCCGCGCGGGTAGGTACCACCACCCTGTCTATTTCTGGCGTGAAGCAGTAATGCGTTTCGGTTTGAAGGGCGGGGCAGCCGTTGTAACTATACTTCAGACCTTAGAACTGATATCTTAACATGGGTGTTGTGTTGCATTTACGTCGTAGATGTCTATGGGCTCCAGTAACCACTTAACACCAGATGGGTTGTGAGCTTGTCCATCTAGCAATAACAAAAAAAAAAAACAATCTCACCTAAAGCATACAGTTTGTTATCCAGTACGGTGAGCGAGAGTGCGGAGCGCGCTATCTGCACCGGGGCGACAAGTTCCCAGGTATTTTTCTCAGTATGGTAACGTTCCACGGAGGCCAGCTGCTGGGAGCCATCGTAGCCTCCCACCACGTATATGAACTGATTCATTGCTGCCACGCCTGTAACGAAATTTAGCGTTACATTTCATTATCGATAATGACAAGAGAAAAGTAACCGTCTTTATACAACTAAGTCTGAAATTACAGTGAATAATTGAAAACATTGCCTAATCGATTCCGAAGGATTAATTGAATCGTTTTAATAAGAGAGGTTGAAGTTCGAAAAAAAAATTCAATAAAATATCTGCAAACAAAAATTGGATCAAAGTTATTTTATTTGCATACGACTGAATTAGTATTATATCGGATATTGGTATTATCGCTTAAGAGGTTGAAACTCCAAAACTAAGTTAAAAAAACCAGAAATCCATTAACAAGCGTATATAAATTTACAAGTTTTTAGAGAAGCAAACACACAATGTCTATTTGTTATCATTTCGTTATCAACACTTGCATAGGTAATGGCGGAACGTATGCGAGTTTTATAGAGTGTCACCTAATTACGAAGGTACAATTTATTTGAGGTAGACGCATTAATGGTATAACAACAGTAAGGACCTGCCCCGCTGCGCGCGACGTGCATGGGCGCGACCTCGGTCCAGCGGTTGTTCTCGGGGTGGTAGCACTCGACGGAGGCGACGCGGCGCGCGCCGTCGAACCCCCCCGCCGCGTACAGCAGCCGGTTGACGACGGCCACGCCCACGCCCAGCCGCGCCGTGCTCATGGCCGCCACGCTGCTCCACAGGTCGCGCTCGGGCTCGTAGCTGCAACACGAATACATCCTATATGTAACTATACTAAAACCTTAGAACTCATTAGCCTAAGGAGTTTCTCGCCGGATCTTTTCAGTGGGTCGCGTTTCCGATCCGGTGCTAGATTCTGCTTTTTTTTTCTTTTTTTCTTACCTGTGCTGATAGCCTTGAGAGGCTACTTCAGTTTCACCCTAATGTGTGTAGGTGAGCTCACGGGGCTCAAACCGGAGTGTTGCTAACACTGACCCTAGCAAGAGCAGTGCTTCGCAGAATCTACCACCGGATCCGAAACGCGACCCACTGAGAAGATCCGGCAAGAAACTCAGTGGGCTGTGTCTATGGGTTAATTCACTCGACGAGCCTTTCGTCGCAAGCAACGGGTTCGACGAGGACGGTGGCCGGTGCTTGTAGTGCCTAAAAGCACCGTTAATGACGTGTTTAGGGCGACGTCGACTGTTTACCAATTGGTCTACAGGATCGGGTATGTGAGATTACAAACAAACAATATGATCATAAAAACATATAATATTTAAAAAAATAGTTAAAACAATAACCAAACACGTTTCCATTATCAAAATCACATATAAGTAGATAGTGAATAGAGAAGAGAAAGGACAATGCCCAAAAGTGGGCCAACTTTATGTCAAAACTATTTGTACTTGAAAAACTATGCCTTATTTTTTCACGTTGTTTAGTTTATGTATCAACATTTCTTTCAACGGGGCATTGTTTTACAAAAAAATAAATTACTTATTTGATAACATCCCAAAACTATCCATGCCATAGTTTTTAAATTCACCAAAAGGCAAAGGGCTTAGCCCATACAGCCTTATAGTAAACCTATATGCTGCCAAACGAAAGAGTTGTCTGTGACTTGAACAACAAATAAAAAAAAATAGCTAATGCTTATAATTCACAGGCTTCTTAGTTTATTTTTGTTCAATTCAATATTTATATATTGTAATAATAATTATTACTTAAAACCATGACTTATTTAATATTTTTAGATATTAATGATTCCATTAGTAAAAATATCAATGGCCTACCATTACTCTATACTTATTATATATGATCAGAGAGTTTTGGCAGCAACCCGAGTGAAGCGTCACTTGAGTTTTTATTTTAATGTTTTTTTAATAGTTTATGGTGTAATTTGTAATATTGTGTATAAAAGGTCTGCGTAAACTCATGCTCAGTCAATGTGGTATTCGTCGAGTTGACGTCAAAACTCCCAAAAAGCAATAAAAAGAGATACACCGGGTTTTTATTGACATAAAAAATATATAACTTCGACAGACTAGGCTTTATAGGCTACGCTCTTTGCCTGCTTATTGGTGAGTTTAAAAACAACAACAACAATATCGTTGCCGGCTTCCGGATTTTCATATCATTTTATTATTATTATGAGGATATAATAATAATAAAATGTACGTAAGGGCTTATTTCTAGCAACATTAACCACAATTAACTTATTTAATACTGTAAATAATTATGAGAGCGATTATTGATTTCGAAGAAAACAATTAACAACTTAATTTTAGCTGCAGAAAAAAACAGATTTCTCTTAAACCTGAGTGAGAATATAAAAATCGTTTTCTGAATATGAAACGATATTTCTTGGTCTATCAAATTAAGTTAAAACCATGATGACCCGACAACTTTTTTTAGGGGCCCAAACGCCCATAGAAAATGGGCATTGTCCTTTAGAAATTTAAGTTACAAAAAACAAAAGCAACACAATACGCACATAGTATTATGTACAACTCACACTATAAAACTATAATACTCATCGGTCTAAATCACTTTATAAATATTCCAAAATAGCTTTTCTATATGCTACAAGTGACAAGTAAAAGATGTCAACACTAAAGAACTTGGTATCATACAACCTATGAGATCTACGGGCAAAAGAGTTCGAAGCATATTTCGTTCGAGCCGTGGACATGTGGGAGGTCTGTTTAAAACGCGCGGAAATACGACTACATTTAAATGAAATTATGTATTGAATTAAAAAAGCCTTGAGTTACCATTCAACAGTCCTGTGATATTCTGATCCGGCCGAACCTCCTACGGCGTACAAGAGACCGTCCATTACTGCCACACCCACCTGCAAATATAATTGAAAACATTCAATACTTGGTACTATATTGTTCTATGTGGGTATCATTAAATCATATTGTTTTGTTAGTCGGACACTCTTATGAGGACGGTCGTGGTTGCGCTGACAAATTATTGTGGAATAGAGCAATTTATTGAATTAACTTATACTGCTGGTGAGGCATTCGGTAATCCACCACTGGTACAGAGCATGAAATTCCTACCCAGCCATGCCCACAATGAGTGAATGACCTCAAGCGTGACCAGTATTGTTGGGCACTCTCAACTATTTAATATACCTGTCAGAGATCCTCACGCTGTGTGCTTAGTAAGAGTTTTTTAACTTCTTGATCGTGTAAATTTAACTCAAATTTGTATGGAATTGGAACAGCGCCCTTAGCGGCAAACGTAGGGATCGAGATGCTAAAAAAACTCGCACTTTTGTTTTTAGTTACCTATGCTGATAGCCTGGAGAGGCTATTTCAGCTTCACCCTAGCGTGTAGGTGAGCTCACGGGGCTCAAATCGGGAGTGTTGCTAACACTGGCCTTAGCAAGAGCAGTGCTTCGCAGAATCTACCACCGGATCGGAAACACGACCCACTGAGAAGATCCGGCGAGAAAAGGAGTGGGCTGTGTCTGTGGGGTCCCACTAAGCACGCTAAATATATTAGTAAAGATTGGGAAAGCCGGTCCGCGAGAAGCTAGAATAGTCCCTTAGACAACCAGAAATAAATATATTGGGAAAGCATCAACATGAGTATACATACCCTATGACGCGGCGTTGACATAGGACTACAAGGTCGCCAGTGTTCCGTGGCGGGATTGTACACGTCGACCCAGTCGCTGTCGTAGGACGAGCCCGGTGACGTATTCCGACCACCGACCGCATAGAACAAACCCTGAAACAAATATTACATATCGACGAGTGAAAAGCTATTTAAAGGTTCCAAAGACATTACGCTTAAATACGCAACATTTCACTGTGTAATATTTTTTATTTATTGCTTAGATGGATGGACGAGCTCACAGCCCACCTGGTGTTAAGTGTAGTAGTAAATATCTACAACGTTAATGCGCCACCCATCTTGAGATATAAGTTCTAAGGTCTCAAGTATAATTACAACGGCTGCCCCACCCTTCAAACCGAAACGCATTACTGCTTCATGGCAGAAATAGGCATAGTGATGGACCCACCCGCGCGGACTCACAAGAGGTCCTACCACCAGTAATTACGTAAATTATAATTTTTGCGGGTTTGATTTTTATTACACGATGTTATTCCTTCACTGTGAAAGTCAATCGTGAACATTTGTTGAGTACGTATTTCATTAGAAAAATTAGTACCCGCCTGAGATTCGAACACCGGTGCATCGCTCAACACAAATGCACCGGACGTCTTATCCTTTAGGCCACAACGACTTCTCTATATTAGTTAAATATACTTTTTTTTGGTATTATCATCAACAGGTCCAATGTTTTTAATTGAATTTCAATTAAGTTTAGTCTATACAAATAGCTGAAGAAGTGTTTTGATTTCTTTTTTCCAAATTTTAATCATTAAATGGTTCTCCCGTATATTCGCAAAAATGTCGCTTATAGCAAACAGCCTTTCTCCCGTCGATATCATTAGATGTACTTAACTGCTTTCTTGGTAACCTTAACGCATATCAAAACTATTACGGCACGAATTTCCCATTCATTTTGTTGTACGTTTTACATAAAATTCGACATTTGAAATACCTATAAGTATTTTTATCTACATTTTTATTTAAATCAATTTTGTCAATAACATACTTTGCGCATTAGCGCTTTTATACTATCTTGTTCAAATATTTGAGTACTTTATTAATATTTCTCACGATCTCATGCTTAAACGGTAAAAAGGTAAGCTATGTATGATAATATTTAGATTAGATTAATGACGTCCGATCAGGCAAGACTTCATCAGAATACAATGTTGGAAAACATCATAAAGGTTTTACATTTTATTTCTAGTTCATTATACGTCGTTATAAGACACAGTCTTTGACTTATAATATGTTATTATGTTTGGTATGTGTGTTATATGGCAACATTTTTTTTCGAATTTGGAAATAGAATTCAATGCATTATTTTTTAAATAACATTTGATAGAGAAACCCAGAATTGTATGCTGCCCAAATAAAAATAAATAATATTTTTATTTTTTTTATTGCTTACATGGGTGGACGAGCTCACAGCCCACCTGGTGTTAAGTGATTACTGGATGGTAGAAGTGGTTAATATATTATGAAAAAGTAAAAAAACAAACACTTGAATAATAAACCGAATTTATACTTAATTTTGTCTTTTTTAATCTGTTGATACTGCTGTTAAAAGAGCGAATTTATAAAATTATTGAATTGTCATTGGTCCTTGTTTTGATGAATCTATAAATTTTAAAGTTAATGGGACGCATTGAAGCAAGTGAGAATAATGTTCAAAAATTCAGTTACATACAAACGTTTCAAACTAATACAGGCCTATAAATATATGAAAATTCAAAATTGTACGATTTGTCCACACAACCCTCTGTTGTGATAATGATAACAACTTCCAATATTGAGTAATTGTTTATTGATATGCTTACACTGATTGATGACTCTATTTATATCATAAAAATGACATTATGCACGTACCTACGCGACGCCTTGCTGATGGCGGTACACGAATTGACTCGAAAATGAATGACTTTGATGTAAAATGCATCGCTATGCAATATGATGTGCGCGCTGACCAGTACAAAAATATATTGTTGTTCTTGAAAATCTTAATATTTAATTGCTTGACTATAGCGGCACCGATCTTACTCAAATATTTTTTATTATTCTATATTCCGAAACTAGCTTCATTCATTGCGTGATAAGTATCGTAAAGATTGAGAAAATCATTTTCAAAAATCTATAATATACTAGCGACCCGCCCTCGCTTCGCTTCGGAAACATTAAAACACACATGAAACCAAAAAAATAAAATAAAAAAAGTAGCCTATGTTCATTAGGGACAATGTCGGCTTCTAATGGAAAAAGAATTTTTCAAATCGGTCCAGTAGTTTCGGAGCCTATTCGAAACAAACAAACAAACAAACAAATCTTTCCTCTTTATAATATTAGTATAGATTTATTCTATCAATCTCTTTTTGATTCATGTGGCCAACACGTCTTAGTTACGTGATCGAAAAATGATTTGTCCTTTTGGCGGAACCATAAATCAAAGATCAACCCATCGAACATGTGTAAAGGTTTTGCAGTCGCATTATTAGTCGGCATTCTCGCGTCTAGGGCAATCGTTCAATAACATAATAATATTATTATCTTGTATGACAACCCAACGTTATCGTCACACGATGATTCTTATATTTTCCATACAGTAAATGAATGAGTTGTGGAAATTACGCCTATTTTTATCTTCAAAATAAATCTTTCCACACTCTGACGTTAATGTTCAACGACTCTCTAATGTAGAGACCAAGGAAAGGACGTAGTTTTGTGCAATAATCACAACAATGAATTTTTGAATTTCGTTGCAATTATTACATACACGTAAATACATCGATATAATAATGACAGCAAATAATGTTGTGAATTTAGTGTTGTGATGAATTATATATATGTATATAGAATCACCAAACTTATTAATGAAAGAATGAATTAAGGTTTTGACTATCTAGCAGAGATGTCGCCAGAACACGTCCCCTTACGACCCTCTTGTAAAAGTTATCTGAGTCTGCCTCCAGATACTCTTGACGTGAATGACAGTTGGATTGTTGTTGACAGTGAATGTTCACGATTGACTTCCACGGTGAAGGAATAACACACATCGTGTAATAAAAATCAAACCCGCAAAATTATAATTTGCGTAATTACTGGTAGTAGGACATCTTGTGAGTCCGCGCGCGTAGGTACCACCAACCCGCCTATTTCTACCGTTTCGGTTTGAAAGGTGGAGTAGCCGTTATAACTATACTTGAGAGCTTAGAACTTATATCTCAAGTTGGGTGGCGCATTTACGTTGTAGATGTCTAAGGGCTCCAGTAACCACGTAACTCTAGGTGGGCTGTGAGCTCGTTCACCCATCTAAGGAATAAAAAAAAAAAAAACTATGTAGTGAAATAATAATAGTAGTAAAATACTCTTGACTGTATTACCTTTAAAAACGCCGCTCCGAGTCCCGACCTGGGCACGGTCAGTCGCGGCAGAGTCGTCCAGCAGTTGTCGTCTAAGTTGAACGACTCGAACGTGTCTATCGAGTGCCTGAAGTACCCGCCAGCCACGTATATAATGCGGGGCGTGTTCGGTCTGCGTTCTTTCACGACCGGGTTCTTGTGTAATGTCAGATCCTGTTGAAATAATAACAATTTATTGTCAGTTTTATAATACTCATTGTAAAAATTAATATTTAAAAAATAATCTAATATTAAAAAAAAAAAGACATGCCCGCTGAGTTTCTTGCCAGTTCTTCTCAGGACGGAGGCTAGTTTTATGTGAATTGGCGGTAGTTATTTTTGAAGTTCAACAAGTATGTACTTTCATTTATGTTGAATACAAATTGTTTTTACTGGTGGTAGGACATCATGTGAGTCCGCACGGGTAGGTACCACCGCCCCGCCGTGAAGCAGTAATGCGTTTCGGTTTGAAGGGTGGGGCAGCCGTTGTAACTATACGGAGACCTTAGAACTCATATCTCAAGGTGGGTGACGGCATTTACGTTGTCTATGTTTATTGTAATTGAAAAATAATTTAATTGCACGGCACTATACGTCCACCTGGCGACAAAATATCAGAACAATAGTCCATTGTAAATACGTTTCTACCAAAAAAAAAATTGGTGTGACGTGTCCTCACCTTGAATATCTTAGCTAAGTATTCCCTACAGGCAGGTACTTTCTTTAGAACCGTACACGTGCTCATTTGCTCCTTCAGGAAGCTCGGTGTTAGGTACTGGCATCGAACCGCCTGCAGGATGTGCTCCATCCGGGGATGCCTTCTGTCCTCATCGTATTTTACCTGTAACGTTTAAGATGATATCAATTTATTTGTATTTTTTTTATTGCCTTTGTAGGCAGACGGGCGTACGGCCCACCTGATGGTGAGTGGTTACCGTCGCCCATGGACTTCAGCAATGCCAGGGGCAGAGCCAAGCCGCTGCCTACCGCTGAAAGCCGCTGCCTACCGCTGCCAAGCCGCTGCCTACCGCTACCAAGCCGCTGCCTACCGCTACCAAGCCGCTTCATTTATATATATAGATTGTGTTTCAGTTAAGCTGCAAATTATGTGTATGCTATAAATAAATTAATAACGTAGCAGCAGACTATGATTGTGGTCGTTGTTTATCACGAATGCACCGGTTCGCAGTATTACCCACGTACATTCATCTTATACATATAAACAACTTGACAATATGAAGTGACGACATTTTTTGTTTGGACTTTACACACGATAACGTAAAGATATGTGAGACAGTCTGTTTATTACCTTCTAACATTAAAATTAACCTACTATTTGTTTGATGTAAAATGAAACATCACGTTGTAGATAAGATTTATTCGAAAACAATGATAAGACAATCTGTATACATATAACAAACTGCGCTAAGTCTAATCATTGACTAATTAATGACATAACATAATTGAATTAGACTTGAAAACTGCGTAACTCATAAAACTGCGCTTACACGTGGCAAAAAAACAGAAGAGAACCCTCCAGAAGAAACCTTTTTATCTCATTCTCTTTCTCGTTTTTACTTCAACAGTAAAGAGTTCCTTGTTCGGTCCGAATTAAAGTCCTATTTGTTAACCAATGAAATTCCAACTTTTTCTTAGTGAATTTCAAATATGCCATATCACTAGATAATATGTATAGCTGTTGCGGTAAGTTCTACAAGAATGATTATTTTGTGAAACCTAGAACCCTTTTTTAATAACCTTGTAGGCATGCGAGCGTAGGACACATCTGTCGGTAAGTAGTTACCGTCTCTTATGGATGTCAGTAATACCAGGGACATAGCGAAGCCGTTGCCTATTGCGAAGTATTCTTCGCAAAGCTCGTTTGAAGAAGAACATGTCGATTCATCTCTACCTAATGGCCGCCCAGAAGAGATCGCCCAGAAAAATACTACCCACTCTTACTTTTGTGTTGCAAAATACGCACATTTAATGTATTTTTTTTTTTTTTTCTTTTCGTCTACAGTAAAGTATAATCAATAGATCATTCAAGATTAATACGGGAAGGATGATAGAAAATCTTGCCTTAAAAAAACAAATTAACGGAATATGACTATGCTGGCCAATAGCGTGATTACGATTGAAGGTAGTAAGCGATTTGTAGATTTGTACGCGAGCCGTGTAATGTGGCGTACAAATGAAAAAACCTAGCTCGATTGACTAGGTATCCGAATTTGAATTGATCACGATACTCAGAATTGAGGAAACAACTGATTAGATAATGTTAGCACTGAAAATTATTTTCATTTCTATCATTCTTATAAGCAAATCGATAAATCGATAAAAGCAATAAAAATATTCAATTCTATTGGATTTTTTGCGCGCGGGAATTATTTGGCGACGATATAAATGAGACGGTTTTTTTTTTTGTTTCCTACCTAAGCTGATGGTCCAGAGAGACCATGTCAGCGTCATCGGGCTAGTAGGTGAGCTCACTGGGCTCAAACCTGACGATGTTGCTAATACGAACCCTAGCAAGAGACGTGCTTCGCAGAATCTACCACCGGATCAGAAACGCGACCCACTGAGATGATCCGGCGAGAAACTCAGTGGGCTGTGTCTGAGGGTTAATTTACTCGCCGAGCCCTTCGTCGCAAGCGACGGGTTCGACAAGGACGATGACCGGTGCTTGAGGTACCTAAAAGCACCGTTAGTGGATCGGGAGGATCCAAGATGAGCATTTTGGGCGACGTCGACTGTTTACCATTTGGTCCACAGGATCGCGACCGAGACGGCATAAGGGTTCTATTGTTTATTGATAGATTTGTTACTGCACTCCCATTTATCAGTTAGTTCAACACATTCATAATATTTTGAATCTCGATCTAATTATTCTTGTTTCACAGCGTTTCCTAGATTAGAACCATTGAACGTGTATACAAACTTCTTTATATAAATAAATAAATAATGAACAAAATAAAATAAAAATGATATTTATGTATTTTTCGGGTTTTTTCTTTATCCCGTCAACGCATTTTATCATCGCTCCGCCCGCCATCGGAGCGCTATGGACATGTCCAAACGAGGCTTGAAGGGATTTTGGTATTGATGATGTACATGAGTGACATTCTCGATTTATCATAAGATTGGCCGTATGCTCGTCTTTCTACTAAGAAAATAAAAATGTATGAAAATTCATAGATAACTCACCCAACTTAAAACAGCGTTATACACTTCTCTTTCTTCTCTTACGTTCAGTTCGTCTTTGCGGATAAGAGATATTAGTTCTTGTGTTGTTAGTTGTAGGAATTCTTCTTCTTGGCACACCTGGGACACACCAATTGGAGTGGTTACTGTAACTATACTTGAGACCTTAGAACTTATATCTCAAGATGGGTGGCGCATTTACGTTGTAGATTTCTATGGGCTCCAGTAACCACTTAACACCAGGTGGGCTGTGTGCTCGTCCACCCATCTAAGCAATAAATAAATAAAAAGTTAATCTTACCTGCGTGAAATGTCTCTCGATAAATTGATTGGCTCTCTTCTTGAGTTCAACGCATCCGTGTTGTTCGGCGAAGTTCGCGATGCCGATCGCGTTCGAGGGGTCCAGCTGTCGCTCGAGGAACGCGCTGCATGCGTTTATTACATTCGTTATCTGTCGGCACACGTCTAAAATAAGTGTAGTCAACAACTTAACGAACAAACAACGTTTGGTATGCAACAAAACTATAAATACAAATAGTTTTTTCTCCTACCTACGCCGAAAGTTCGGTTTTCGTCCCGCTGTATAGGGAAGAAAGTGTCACTTTTCCTCCCTGGGTACTGACAAGTGCGCATGCGCGTTAGTGTCTACGTCTGCTCTCACGCACCTAAAATTCTCCGCCATTGTTGTGCTCGGGTAATTTGCAATATTGTGCTAAGTGTAAAAGTGAAATAAACAAATGGCAATAAAATTTAATAGTGAAGTATTAAACAAAGATGAGTTCATCACACAGTTCTTATTCAATTCAACAGTTAAAACGGTTTTTTTATGAGTACGGGGGGCTCCACCCTACCTACCCCCTGCCAGGACTTCGCCCCTGGGCCCCGGCTCGGTACTCCACAAACTTTCGGCCTGGTAGGAGAAAAAATAGTATGTGCACCGCGGGAGAAAATGTCCAACTTTTCTCCCTTGGTGCACAATGTACCATTGTACATTACTTATTATGTCCGGTGTAAGAAAGCTGTTGCCGAAAGCGAGGACAAGTCGCGATCTGAGCACGCGCAATGTAACAACAAACGATTTAGTTTATAGCAAAGCACGTAATGTAACACGAAACGGAGCGAGCAGTGTTTATTTTATTTCGTGAGACGCGGGGTTTCAGTTACTTTCACTTCAGATTGCGGGTTCGCGTAATATTATTTAACATTGAAGTCGTCGTGGTCTAAATGATAAGACGTGTCCGGTGCATTCGTATTTAGCGATGCACCGGTGTTCGAATCTCGCTGGCAAATAACAATTCTTCTAATGAAATACGTACTTAACAAATGTTCTCGATCGACTTCGACGGTGATGGAATAACATCGTGTAATAAAAATCAAACCCGCAAAATTATAATTTGCCCCTGCCTATTTCTGCCGTGAAGCAGTAATGCGTTTCGGTTTGAAGGGTGGGGCAGCCGTTGTAACTATACTGAGACTTTAGAGCTCATATCTCAAGGTGGGTGGCGGCATTTACGTTGTAGATATCTACTAGCTCCGGTAACCACTTAACACCAGGTGAGGTCAGGGCCGTGAGCTCGTCCACATAAATAAGCAACAACAATTTTTTTTAAATTTGTTTTCAGTTTATTATTAGTTAGTCCTACTAGCATTGCTGTTTCGATTCCGGGAACGGTTTTCTTATGTCCTATTGGAGGTTTAATTGGAACTTGGACAAAATTAAGATATTAGTTAACGGATGTTGACAAACTTTGAAACTATTCGAAAAGATTTTTTTTTAGAAAATCTTATCTGCCTAATCGATTTCTAAAACAACCTATGTTCGAGATGCTGCTAGAATTTTCTGTATTTCGATTTCTCTACGTTCACAAAAAAAAGATGTATAGTGTCGTTGGACACCGGATAGGAAAGAAGTTCCTATTTATAAAAATATTAATTTTAAGTTCTATTCGAGCTATAAAGAAAATAAAACTAGAGGTTTCGCAACGACCCGGTCGCAACAACGGTCATTCGGTAACGTGCGAACTTGTTGTGGTACACTTCATTCATAGTTGTTTGCATAAGAGTTAGTGTATTGCGCAAACGAACGCTCTGAGATCGTGGTCAATGAATGATAATAAAATATGTTATTTTTTGTACGCTATTACAAAGTTAAGTCGTACACTGTGTGCATTACTAATAAAAATCTTACGTTACGGACGTTTTTTACGGGTAGGGTACTCCTGCGCATCGTCCCATAAGGAACTTCGTTCCAAAAAAAACAGTATTTCTGTCAGTAATTATTGTTTTCGGAGAGGCGTTACCCGAGCCCTTAGGCATCACAATGAGAATGTCCACTACACGCCGCAACAGAAGCGTGAATTCACGAGAGGGACGGTCGCAATTTTGAGTTATAGGTATATGCGTTGTGACATTTGCAAAATCTAGTGTAAGACGATTTATGTGGTAAGCAGTATCAAATACTAACCTGGAACATGGTGGCGGCCGGGAGCAGCTGGCAGACAGTCACTTCAGTTATCCTGATCTTCCCCGTGTACATAAAATATATCAGCCAGGCCATCGCTGAAGGACACACGCCTTGTAACCGAACCCTTGACATTTCACACTCCTTGAGGCCGCTCGTGAACATCGCCTGAGCACAAAGAACAAATACCATATCATACCATTTATCTTAATACCAGAATTAATATAATACTTACATATGTATAATACATATATTATAACAATATAATTTTACTGGTGGCAGGACCTCTTGTGAGTCCGCACGGGTAGGTATCATCGCCCAGCCTATTTCTGCCGTGAAGCAGTAATGCGTTTCGGTTTGAAGGGTGGGGCAGCCGTTGTGACTATACTGAGACCTTAGAACTATATCTCAAGGTGGGTGGCGCATTTACGTTGTATATGTTAATGGGCTCCAGTAACCACTTAAAACCAGGGGGGCTGTGAGCTCGTCCACGCATCTAAGAATTAAAAAAAAAACCGTATAACATTAGCTAGGTCGTTAGCTCGTTTATATGTATTAACTACTATGCAAATGCGAGTACTTCTATCTTTAAATTCCTCCACAGCTGTCCACCCTTAAAGTTTCGAATGGCTAAGTATATCTTAGGAATTAGGAGCGCAATTTTAATGTTATTTCGAAATCCTAACCTTAATCAAAAGGCCGGGCTACAGGCTTAATAATTAAAGGAATTGTTCAAAAATCTTAAATTACTTCATGAACAGTGTGTGCCTTATGTGTTTTGAAATACGTCACGTGTTTGAAAAGCAAAAATTATTACTTTTAAGCTAATCTTCATTGACGTATATCAATCACAAAGAATCGTCAATTCTCAAATCCGTTCAAAACGCAAAGTCACCTGATAAATGCAAAAAATATTAGGTATATACAATATCTGTGTTTTTTGACTAGGTTTTTCATTTTATTTGTTATATTTAGGTTTTTAAAATAAATAAATATGCATAGTCATTCTGAGACGAGTAGCAGTTTTTTTCCGTAATTCTAAGAACCCGATTAATTCTGTTGGATATTTCTTGAATCTCTTGAAATCATTTACAAATTCACGATACAGTCTAACAACATGTTTGTTAATCACTGTAACTGTATGATTCATTTTAGCTAGTAATTTGATTGTTTTTGGAGTTTCGTTATTCTACTATTTTTAAACAAGAATTAGATCATGAATGCCAAATGTCAGAAATATTCAAGATATCGAGTAAGACCGGGGATCGACCAAACCCGGGACCACTAAATAGACATCGTTAATTCAAATTTAGTTATGTCCTAAAATCGGGGAAGTGAGTATCGGATAGCAGGATGTAGCACGGACAGTGCGGAAACGAGAATGAACGTTAATGTTTAAAATTAAAAGGAAATCGAAGCGAAGTAAATTCTCCCTCACAACAAGGTGACACTCTACAAAACCTTTTATACGTTCTTTCATGACCTATGCAAGTGTAGTGTTCGCTTACGGGGCCCATACACACTTTAACTCTCTCCACGTCATCCAATCCCGGTTCTGCTCGGTAACCGTCGGAGTACCATGATATGTGAGGAATGTAGATCTTCACGACGACCTAAATCTAGTACCGTTAAGTAAGCATCTTAAGGACGCGTCAGAACGCTACTTCGAGAAAGCGAGGCGACACGAATTATTTTATCCGACTGCGACGGGGCAACGCAAGGGCGCCGTCGCCCGAAATATGTCTTGTCGGATCCCCCGAATTTACTCTCGGTGTTTTCAGGTCTCTCAAGTACCGGTGGCGATTCCGATCGGGTGGTAGATTCTACAAAGCACTGCTCTCGTTAGAATGTTAGCAAATTCTCTCAGGTTGAGCACGTGAGCTCACGTATACTCGTCAGGGCGTTGCTGGAATAGCCTCTAGGCTACCAGCGAATAGGTAGGAAAAAAATCGTCGGTGAAAAGTAAGTTTATATTAAGCAGTAAATTATATCCACGACTCGCAAAAAACGATGGAAATACTACAAAGTCAAGTTAAACATATGTATATTAAACACATATTACAGCAAGATGTTTATTTATAGTCTTATTATCTTCGATTTCAGTCAGCCGCGAAGTGTATTGGATCAATGGACAATTGGGACGGATCGATTGTAAAATGCCATGAAATTTTTAGCTCATTTGAAACTTTTCCATTTATTAATATAGGAAAAAAACCTTTCCTAATGAGCATTAATAATGAAAGTTATTTTTAGAGATCAGGTGCAAAAAAAAAAGCACGAAATACTAAGGTTCGCGGTTAATCAAAATACAAATAGGCAAAAATCACAAATAGTAAGTATTAAGTAATATTAAATATTGAAGAAAGCATTGCACGTTACGTGGAAAACGTGTGAGTGTGCGAGATTATTATTTTTCGACCACAAACTTAGGTTTTTGTTTCTAGTAGGCAAAACAATAATTCAAATAATTTATGATCGCTTTTATTATCTATTATTATTAATTTAAAATAATTTTAAATAGTGTTTTTCCTGTTTTGTAAAAATATTATTATTACTAATATTATTTGAGCATCTATTTGTGTGCTCACTCAGTAAAGCAGGCTATAACTTAGGTAGTGACTACATTCTCTTTGAAATAGGGTATTCAAACATGATTTAAATTTTAAATAATGTTTGTTTATTTAGCAACTACATAGATATTTCTAATTATTTGTTCCTTTGGCAATAAGAATGAGACACCATATTATTTATTTATTTTTTATAAGTTCAATATGTCCCCCAAATAGGCAATATAATTTAACATTTTTAATTTTCGCGCCAAAACTAGCCGCCATGTTGATTTGACTACTGACGTCACTGGACAGTTTAATAAATTATAATCCATTCGGTATCCGATTACCTTAAATTAGGTATTTGTTTATTTATTATAAGATAGAAACGTTTTTCAATTGATGCACTGGATATACAGAACCTTGGAGGCATGTTTTTATTTCTTCACTTTTAGTTTTCATTTAGTTTTTTACTGTACTAAAGGATTGAGGGGCTGTATAGTGTTCTTACCAAAATGTCACAAAGAGAATGCCGTCTTAAAACGCGAGGTCGAACAAACGAACCAACCAAAGTCAAGTTGTTGCGTGTTTTTAAGATTGTGTTTGTGTGGGTGTGTATGTTTGTTGGTGTGTATGGTATTTACCTTAAAATAAGGACTGCCCGCCGCTAATACAACTTTGTGGACGTGAAAGAGTTCGTTTCCAACTTCCAACACGACATCAGTCAGCATTTGGTGTGATCTCATTGTAAACATCATCTGTTGACAAGAACATTTAGTATTAATATTCGTTTGGTCTTGACTTTATTAACTTGTGAGGACTTGTGGTGGGGCCTCTTGCGAGTCCGCACAGTTTGAAGGGTGGGGCAGCCGTTGTAACTATACTGAGACCTTAGAACTTATATCTCATGGCGGGTGGCGCATTTACGTTGTAGATGTATATGGGCTCCAGTGACCACTTAACACCAGGTGGGCTGTGAGCTCGTCCACCCACCTAAGTAATAAAATATGTATATAAACGACTACAAAATCTAAGAGAAACCATTTATTGTTTAAAAAAGGGGCTTCGAAAGTGTGTGTATTGCTTCGTTCTTGCTTCACGCAGCAACGGAACAACCAATCCTCGTGATTATTGCTTAACAGTCGTTAGCAAATCGCAGCGGAGAGTGACATTGGCTGCATTATTTTCTGTATAAACTATCCTTTTTTATTTTTAAGAATTACGAATTTGAAGCGGTTGAAAGTGCAAACCGTACATTGTTGTTGTATAAAGGACATAGGCCATTTACGGCCCAGCTGCTCGTGCTCTCAAGGACACGAATGAAATATCTATAGAAAAAAACATTTCATTTTGACATACTTATTATAAAATTTAAGGGTATTTTAATAGTGGGATAATTAAAATCATAAATAAAAAGAAATTAGCATGATTAAGCTACATTGATAATATTGAAGGAATTGCCATAGGTAAAATATATTTATATTTTAAACAATTCACATTAAATCTTCTTAAAAAAGACATTATATTGCAAAAAACTAGCAAAATATATTAATATATTTAATTAATGGATGGTTCCGTGCTGGATGTCTTGTTGTTCTCTTCAATGAAACGATTTGGCTCGTATTTACAGGTTTATTAAAAGATAAAAATTGAAGAATAAATAATAATGAAGTGCAATATGAGTGCAGTAGATAATGTAATCGTTAAAGATGTATATGCGTTCGCGATCGCTCGATGAAGTGAAGCTCGGTGGTGGGCGAGAGTAAAAACTTGATTTAGAGATCCTTAACAACTAATATAAAACATTATATATAAACAAAAATCTATTTTTATACTTTTAAATCCGTAGAATAAATCATTAATAATTATTGATCTTAAGCAAAAAAAAAACCTCGCTTGTTGTCGTTTTCGCACTCGTGCGCATTGTGGATATTATTGTTTCGTTGCGATATACCTGCTTATTATATTTTTTGTGCATAAAATTAAGTCTTGGCGTTTATTGAATTAGGTCTGTGTCATAAAGTATAGTAATATAAATAATATTTAAGCTGATGATGATGTTAAAGTGTCAATCAGTGTATTGACAGCAAAATCATCTGATATAACTTAAAATTCTTATCTTACTTTTTAAATATCTCTGTATCCCCATGAACAATTTTAATTTGTTTATAACAAAAGGGATATATAGTCTGTTATTTAAACTTAATTTCATTACTGTCCTTGAACTTCGTTTAGTGGGCCGTGCAATGTATGGAGAGTGGCCCATGTCCTCTGCATGTTTAGTTCAAGTTCTAGTGCAAACATTGTTTCTTTACAAGTATTGAATTTAATTTAATCGTAGAGCACCTATATAGAGTTTATTATAATAATATTTTAATTGCTTAAACACCAGGATGACTACTCCCTATTAGATGATTTATTACTTTTGTAATATATTTGTTGAGGTCGAGATATAACACATTCCTAAATTACAAAGGCTGCTCATTTTATCCACTTATTTCAAATAACATAATTTAAGGATAACAAATGAATAATTAAAGCAATAGATAAAACTATTTTTACTGTTTAATTCCTGGTTTACTTTTTGCTAGCAAAAACCGAAGAAAATTACTGAAAAGCAAAACATTTAGGGCCTGACAGGTGTTTGTTAGGTCATCAGTGTTTTCTGCGTTGTTATAGCGGTAGGCCTAATTATATTAAATCTAAATTAAGTGAGATTACTGATAAATAATTGATAATGAAATTAATCGAAGACAGAGAACCGGTAAAGGTGATAATCCGTAATAATATTGTGTACTTCATTTCGTCTTTGTATGATTACGATCAAAATGTTTACAAATTCAAATTTTATTTAATTACGAATCCAATTTTTTTTTATTTGATAAACAAAACAGTATCTAGATCCTTTCTGCCACGTTACTATTTACGCTCTTAGTTGATTTAAGACGCTTCAATAGATTTATTATCAATTATTAACACATAAACATATAGTCCAAGATCCCAGGGCACCCAGACGTCACGTATTTTCTGACGAATGAAATGTGGCCAATTGCGTAGAGTGTTAGTATGTACTAAGAACGCATGTCTACTTGCTACCTTGCTTAGACGGCCAATTTTCAGGTATCAGGTACTCAAGGTACATAAAATCATGACCTACTTCACGTATTTTCTGAAAGCTGATTTTTACGTATATTTTAGGCAGTATCCTTAAAAATAAGTCGCCAATACTCCCAGACACTTTCCGTCGACCGAATTGCTTTGCAGACGCTTTAAAGGGTCAATCATCCCCTAAATTCAATTTAATACCTCTGTGGGTAAGAGCGCGAGGGCATTATCTACCTGATACCTGAAAATTGGCCGTCTAAGCAAGGTAGCAGGTAGTCATGCGTTCTTAGTACATACTAACACTAAGTAATCGGCCACATTTCGTTCGTCAGAAAATACGTGACGTCTGGGGGCCCTGGGATCTTACTCTAATAAGCACGCGCGCGCGCTCTCACACCCATATATTCACGCGCACACACACACACACATAGTATGCAAAACATAAACAACCTCTTCTTGTAATTTCCTCGGTGAATTACACGCAGATTACATCAAAATATTATCATGTTTATTCAAACAAGATTAGTCAAGATTAAATTCGCCAATGGGCGATAAGATGTTTCACGGACATCAAAACTAGAAAAATTTTATGTATCTTTTTGCAGTCTCGAATAATACAAAATTGAACAACACACGATGTGGACCCGAATTCTATATTACATTATTGGTATATATTAGCGTGCGTGATAAGAATGTGCTCCGTCATTGCCTCGTGTGAAAACACGCTGGGACTTTACGAAGATAATAATTCTTGTAGGTACCTATTGTATGTTGACAACAAACACAGTGATGTGTCGTTTGTATTTCTTTAGTAAACAGTGTACATTAAGCAATTATGCATACAAAACCCGCAATATAGCTTAGAAAGCATGTTGTTTTATTGAAATAAATAATGGTTTCTAAATTGTATTCAAGTTTATTGTGGAATGAGATGTATTTTATATAAAGCTAGTAAAACGCAAACCCGTTTTTTAGGTATCACGATTTTTTTTATTGTATAGGTGGGTGGACGAGCTCACGTCCCACCTGATGTTAGGTGGTTACCGGAGTCCATAGACATCTAAAACGTAAATGCCGCCACTCACCTTGAGACATGAGTTCTAAGGTCTCACTTTTTACAGTACAACGGCTGCCTTATCCTTCATTACTGCTTCACGGCAGAAGAGCGGGCTCACAAGACGTCCTCCAACCAGTAATTACGCAAATTATAATTTTGCTGGTATGATTTTTACTACACGATGATGATGGTGGTGATTCCTTCACCATGGATGTCACAACAAAAAAAAAGGACTAAGTAAACATGATGTTGTTTGTTGATGTAATTTGTCGGTAGAACGGTGTTATATGTAGCTCTTTTTTTTTGTTAGGAGGAAATCGCCGGACTTCGGCCCTCCATTGGGGATGGCGGGCGAGGCGTGTCGAAGTCGAACCGACTAAAAACCTGTCGCACAACAACCCACGTCCGAACCTCGCATGAGACAGAACTCATGAAAAGGCATAGGGGGGAAAGTGAAGCGTTTAGTGCGAATTATATGTAGTTGCGACCAAACTTAGTCGACATATCGTACCTCTAGAATTGAAGTGGCTTAATTCAAAATTCTCGTTTTTTAGTAAACGCTAAATATGTGTGATATATATGTGATTGAAGAATTGTACTATTGTCACTTTCGATTTTAATACTTCAAGCCTTAAAGATTGATTGAATTGATTGATTTAAAAGAGACGGAAAGTGTACTTGGTCCTTTTGAGCTAAAATTTAAATATAATTTTTAATTTCAAATAAAGAATTTTGGAATAGATAAAATATATGTTTAAAAGTTATTCAAAGTGTATTTTTTTTTTAATTTTATAGTTAAGCTACTTCAAATCTAGAGGTGCGATATTGTTAGCACTTGCGCTATGTTTATAGCCACAGTATGTTGTACTACATACAAGTGACGCGCGATTACTTGCAACAAACGGGTGAACATTCAGTGATAGGCACAGCGGAACTCACTACTATCATTTTAATATTAAATTGTACTGATGATAGGGCTTGTGCACACGTAGGTACTACGACCCTACATATTCCTGCCACAAAGTCTTACGGGTTTGACGACAGGAGCAGCCGTTGCGTTGTAGAATTGAAACTTAGGACTCACGTCTTAAGGTGGACTTTACGTTATTGATACCTTTGGGCTAAAGTAACTACTTAAACACCGTAATCTCCTGAACCGATCTAAGCAATAAATAAAAATACATCTTCTTTGTTGGCGCTAATCGTGTGCGTAGTACAGTAACAACAAGAAGAGAATCAATAGGACCAGTTTCAACGCAATCTATAATAAAAAATAAATAAAGCGATAAATATTAATTGCTAATGTATTCAAATTTTTAAGAGAATATAACCTGATAAGATTTTACACTGCAACTTTTTAACGACTGACCACTTCAGGGATGGAATAATAAAATAATTTCCCAGTAGTGGTCTATGTTAATGCAGAAATGCGTTCTTAAACTATAAGTTTTTATAGTTCTAACGGTTTCGTCTAAGAAATGTTAAGCCAATAAGCGTGGATAAGTTAATTGTCAAGATTCCGAAATAAAAACCGTCAATTAATATTTAATATCTAACAGCACGTGTTTTTTCTGATAAAAAAAATAAAATGGAATT